GTCATACATGGTTTTATATGTGAAAGTCCTCCCATAGAAACCAATAAAACAGAAAATGCCTTCTATCCTTTGAAAGTTTCATTTATATTATGACTTTGTGATGTTATATTTTCACATTTTTAAAATATAATATGAAAAATAAATTGCTTAAGTTTAAAAATATTGTTGAAAATTAAGATTCAATAAAGGGAAAATGCAATAATGGGCATTAGAATGCATATTTTATTAGCCTCCATAGTATTTTAAGGATTTTGAACCTTAGATGCACTCTATCAAATCAGACACAGAGATAAATAACATATTGTAATAGATTGATCACATTAACCAGTTGTCATGCAATGTATACTTTAGTACTCATGTGATAAACAATAATATTGCTCAAATGCAATGTCAAGTAATTTTGTGCCTTAAATGTAACTGATATACGATTGTTTCATATAACGTTAAGGCAAAAATCTTTATTTGGTTGGGGATTTAGCTCAGTGGTAGAGTGTTTGCCTAGCATATGCAAGCAAGGCCCTGGGTTTGATACTTAGCACTATAAAAACAGAAAAAGGCAAAAAGCATGCTTTGTCAAAAATAAAATGTTATATAAATATTTTCTGAATGAAGTTTTCTGTCTCTGTCTGTGGATCTGTATTAATGGATCCAAAAAACTGGACTGGTAATATTTTGGGAAAATTGCATTTGTACTGAACATAGAGATTTTTTTCTTCACAATAAAAGCCCCATCTACACAGCATTTGTGTTGTATAAATATTAAGTTCTCAACAGATGTGTGTAGATTATATTCAAGTACTTACACAGGGGGCTTGAGCATCTATGGATTGTAAAGGGGAGTCCTGGAACTTAACTGCATGGATATCTGCAGTAGGTAATGATGATAGCTTCAGTGTTGTTTCTGTTTGATAAGTTAATGTTACAAAGATCCAGGAAGATGCAAAATATATAATCAAGCTAACTTTCATGCAGCAAAAACTAGATATAGCTGAATGGCACATTTCTGTGATAAATCTCTTTGTACTTGGGCCATTTTCTTGCACACCTGTTTATCAGTATCACTTTTCATTTTCCTCATCCCTTCAAGAATGTCTCCAGAAAATCAAGTTACTTCTCCAGCTAGCCCTTTCTCTTTTCAGGGAGTTATTGTCAGAATGCTATGTAATATCTAAAATACAGTTTATCTCTGCCTTTCTCAAACAAATGCCTGCAGATGTTCTACACCATGTTTTTAAGTTGGACACACCCTAAAAATATTTATACTTTGATAATCAGTATTTCCATTTTTACAACAAATATATATTCCTATATAACCCTTGTGCAATATTGTTTGTATATTTTTGTGTCATTTAAGCCTCTCTCTATAAGTACTCCCCTTTTGTTTTCACTCTTTTAATTACAGTAAAATGAAAGTACAATTTGTAATCTAATTTTCCCTTTTAATATTATTTTAAAACTATTTATTATAGTATGAAACACTTAAATAGGAATGCAAAATATATCATAAAATCTGTGCATGTTATTTTTGTTAACCATATCCCTCATAATTGGAAATTTCAAGTTGGGCACATGCCTATAATCCTAGCATTCAGGAGATTGAGACAAAAGGATCAAAAGTTCAGTTCTGTCCGTTTTCTCTACTTTAAGTAAATATTAAATGATTGTCTTTATACACATCCTGAGAATGCAATCAAAATATACCATAATCCAGAAGTACTTCTAAAATAATCCATCTTATTTCTCTGATTCTATGTTCTTCTGGCAAGGTTCTCTCTTAGCTTTATTTAAGTTCTTCACTTAGCTTTATTTATTTCATCTTGTTTTCCATACTATTGTTAAACTCTATATATTATTGTTCACATTTAATAAGTATTAACTCATTTTATCCTTATAAAATCCTACAATGATTGTTATCCTCATTTTCAGGAACCCACACTATCCTGTTCCATTAGAGTAGGCTCACTCTCACCATCAAATTCCTGAAGATTAGAGAGAATTTTTAGCTAGTTACCTTTGCCAGTAAAAAATGATTGATTCAGTGATAGTAGTGATCCTTTTTCAGTAATGTTATTTTACATAGGAAATCTGGAGAAAGGCAGATTCTTCTGCCATTTTCTTCTGTGACTCATAAAAGCATTCTCATCCATAGATTGGTTCTTACTCATAGAATATACTTAGGAAGTAGCTCCAGCTCAATCCATCAAAATGTTTATTGAGAACCTCTTATTTCTAAGATACATTTAATGCAGATCCAGACATGAGGTGCAGCTCACTAAGCCAAATGTCTACTCATGAGCCAACTCAGTACCATAAGTAACCTGTTCTATTTGAGACAAACACTTGGAGATGAAGGTTGAAAAGACCAGAAGATATTTTAACCAGAATATTTGCAGTTCAGCTTTAACTCAGAAGATCTATAAGAAGGCAGAGTGGTTTTAGGCCAGGAACAAGTATTAAATGCTGAGGAAAGGAACTTTCTGGAATCATCCTGCATGTAGAATGGGATAATTTGGTTTGAGTATGTCTTAGGATGAGTATGTATGCTCTGTGACATTAACCTCATGTTATGTGTGAGTTACTGATTATATTTGTATGGAAACAAGCTTTCTTAAACCTGGTATTCTAAACTTAATGTAAATTTTAGGACAAAATCCAGCTTAAAACAGATTGCTGCCTATTTAAGTAGTAAAGTTGGCTTAACTAGAACCAAAAAAAAAAAAAAAGAGAGAGAGAAACACTTCTAGATCAAGAAAAAAAATGCTGGAGAAGGGGGTGAGTTAAAGAGAGAGAAAAGCATATCTGTTGGAAAGAGCCAAGACACACAACTTAGAAGAAAACATCCCCACCAAGCAGGCAACACAGTTGAGTGTAAGAACCACCACAGAAAGGTGATGCTAGAAGACTCCTCCTTGAAACTTCTGAGCTAAGGACTTATAGATGTTTTGGGCTTAACCACTCAGCCCTGGAGGCGTTGGTATCCTCGGTGACACTGATTTCCTGTATATTTTCAGCTTGTGACAGCAACACAGTGACTCAAAGTTATGTAAGATAGTTTTATTTATTCATTTATTTTTTGCCATTTACTGACTGTCAGCAACATGAAGAACATTTTGAAGAACAGCAGCTTTGCCCAAGTGACTCTGAGCAATTAGATTTGGATTTAGAACAACAAAAGCAACCGATATTTTTAAGCCCAGACAGCCAAGGAACTGAGCGGAAATTCATGATAAAACACAGGGTGGTTTTTGTTTGTCTTAGACTTGCTGTCAACTTGATGAGTGTGGTGATTTATTTTAAAGAAATTTCTGAAGTAGTCACAGAGAATGAGGAAAAATCATTGACTGAAAATATACATTACTCTGAAAATCATACATATAGCAGAACTTTGAATCAGAAAGACATGGACTAGAATCTGGGATTCTCATTAAAGTTATTCACTATGTTATCTATTCTCCCATGTAAAGTAGAGATAATAGATTAGTTTATATGATCATTGAAAGCATTAAATGTAGGACATACAAGAAAACACTTAGAAGAATATGAGACATAACCATTTCCTCACCAGGATATCATAATTTTGCTACCTTGCCTTGCTCCTTGACACACAAGATATCTGGGGTGATACAGTACATGCTTAGAAAATAAGAAAAACTGTTTTTTTTCTGAAATACTTTAATAATATTTAATAATGATACTCCTCTGTCCTAAACCAATGTCTAATTTGATCTTAATATTTTTAATACACATTCCAAAAAATAAGAAAAAGCACATGTGAATTAAAAATATAGATATTCACAGACCGTGACACATTTGAAATATTTTTCACATCTTTATTGATATGTATCTATGTCACTAAGTGCTCTCTTATTCCATGCATTCATCCTCACTCAGTGGCCTGAATCTGACCCATGGAAGTCTATTTGTGGTTACCTTACACCTCACAGGATAGAGGACCTCAAATAGAAACAAACGGACATAGTGGTTGAAAACCCCGTGGTCACACGGGGTCAAGACAGTTAAAGATGAAAAGATCAAGGATGTCACATGGCACTTAGTCATAGGAAATAGGTGGAAGCAGTGGCTATTATAGGAGAAGAGCGGAAGCTATAGATCAAGGAACACAAAGAAAACCTGAGGTAAGAGTTCTTACAAGAGTTGTCCACATGGAAAACAAAGCTTATTAGATTTATTTTTAATTAGAATTTTATGTGACATAAGAAGAAATGCAAGAATGAAGTGGAGAATTAAGATGAAATTATGAACTCTTCTATATGATACATTTATCTTTTATCAAAACCTGCCCTATCTTCTGACTTTCAATTACATTTTGATGTTCTTAAAACTTACTAAATTGCCCTGGAACTTTTGTTCTTTAAGTATATATTTTGCTTAAAAAATACTTTATGAGTACAAATCCCACAAGTGAGGTAATACTTTTTTTTTAGTACTCCTTCATTTTTTTCCAGTTGTCATCATGTATCACCTTTAAGTTTGAAGAACACTTGACTTTATCCTTAATCTTTTTAGGATTGTAGCTTTTTGAAAGAGGATTTTCATTAGACAATCATTACTATTACTCAATTTTATATTCCTGAATTGATTACAATTTGTAGAAAAAGTGTTAGATTTTTATTTAATGTTTAATATTGAAACATTTAATACTATTTTTGCTCTTGTTCTGTACACAGCTACATTTTTTGCTATTGTTGAATTGGTCAGAAAAGTCAATAAATTGAATTACAATCTCAGTCAGCCCTTTGCCCAGAGAGATGAATTGGTATAATGCAAAATAAATCAGTGGACTGAAGTGACCATCATTTTACTTTAAAATGGTCAAAATGATTGTTCAATGATAGACTGAAACATCTGTCTCAAAATATAAGTAACTAAACAAGTTTTGGGTTTCACATATGCAATTTTTCCCTCTTAAATTCAAGAGGTTTCCACATTTTCAACAGATTCAATTATTGCATTGAAGTTATGTGTTGTTCTCTTGTTAGGTGGATCTTCTTGTCCCTACCAAAGTGACTGGCATCATCACACAAGGAGCTAAAGATTTTGGCCATGTACAATTTGTTGGTTCATACAAACTAGCCTACAGCAACGATGGAGAGCACTGGACTGTATACCAGGATGAAAAGCAAAGAAAAGATAAGGTAAGTCATCCAGATGGTTTATAAAGTCCAAAAGTGGAAAGTCAAATTCCATTCAAGTCTGACTTAATGAACTGTTTATGCACTTATACAGATAATGATAAAAATTATATTTAAAAAAGCTTTAAAGAACAACATAAAGAAGTTTATAGTAGAGTGTCTATAGAAAATTGATTTACTGATAAAACTGCCACTACTTATACAAATACAGTTATTTAAAGTTCATCTTATATTTTTAATCTTAATATAGTTTCAAAATTTTTCATAATACATATGTAAATACCCATACACATGCTACCATTAGTTTTATTATTAAAATAAATTCGTCATGTTAGAACATTCATTTGGAAAAAATAGTTCAAAAGTTATTTAAAGATATTTATATTGCCTCATTATGTTGACTCATAGAAATTTTAGAAGTAGAGATAAATTTGCAGTGTTCATCAAAACAAAAGAGGGCAGGATATAGTGGCTCATGGCTGAAATCCTACCTATTCAGGTGGCAAAGATTGGGGGATCACAGTTCAAGGTCAGTCCAAGAAAAATATTGGGCATAATGACTCACGTCTGTAGTCCTACCTCTATGGGAGATTGTATGTAGATAGGTCATGGTCCAGGCCCGCTCTATGCAAAAATCAGGGTCCTTCCCTAAAAATTAATGACCTTAAAAGCAAAAAGGCTGAAGGCATGGCTCAAATGGCAGAGCACTTGCCTAGTAAATTCCAAGGCCCTGAGTTCAGTACTGCCAAATAAATTAATTGATTAATTTAAAAACATATTTCTCTGCTCAATTTCCATGATTATATTTTTTTATGAGACTGGGCTTTACACATGCAAAACAGGCACTCTATGGCTTGAGCCAAACCTCTGGTCCATTTTTTTGCTCTGGGTATTTTTAGAGATGGGAGTCTCATGAACTGTTTGCCCAAACATGCTCCCCCTGTTCTCAGCCTACTAAGTACCGAGGATTACAGGCATGAGCCATTGCCAACAGGTCCCTTGATTTGTATTTCAGTTCATAAATTTGATATACATTTCTTTGAAATAATCTGTTTTAATACATTTGTATACAAACTCATACCACACAATTCTAAGCATACAATTTCCCCTTTTTTTTTTAGTTCTTACCATTTTGGACATTGTACCCATTTAATTGTTAGACTGTGACAATTGCTATGAGACCCTGCAGTATGAAAGTGCTCAGGGATTATAGCAATGCCTAATTCAAGTCAAATCATCAAATATGGCCCCAATTGTTCTAATGGCATTGAGTTAACTTATTGCTCCAGTTTTTGTACAAAAAAAACTCTAGCCTTCTGAAACATCAACAGAAACTCTTAGCTCAAGGATTTGGGAAAAAATACAGCAAACTTTTTCATATATGTTAAGTGTTTTGAGTTATAATAATTTTTCATGGTATCCAACCCTTTTTGTTCCCTGTCATTATTATATTATTAACCAATAAAAATCTCATTAGAACATCTTTCTTCAAGTGTTCCAGGCAGAGAATTTACAAATCTCTCCAGGCATACTGGGCATAGAGTGACTGTTTCAGTCTGAATTACATTCACAGAAAATTCATTTTAGAGTAGACACATTTTTAGGCTCTGATTCAGCTAATACATCTACTTGAGTTATACCATCTCAGAATACACTCGTGTTAACATCTCAGAACACACCCATGTGTACATCTCAGGACACACATGTTTTATTTTAAAGTCTCAGAAGCTGGTATATTCTTACAATGTCACAAGTTAGTAGGAGGATTTAGTCTTTCTGTGAATAATATCAAATAGTAGTGTGCTTAATAATCAATGTTATGAATGAATACTGGGTGTTCTGTAAAGCTGTCTTCATGTTTAACAAATGTGTGTCCTAATTTACTGTAAACAAGTATTTCTGTTCCTGTCTTTCACCTTTATAGTAGGCATTCTGATGCAAGTTTTATCAACTTTGTAAATTAGGACTGTAATTTTAGGACTGATAAGATTTCTCATGTATTGTTCATGTGTAACGTTGATTAAAAGAGTACATCTATTATAGTGAAATTCTTATATAGGCTATTTAGGATAGAAATGTAATGAAAAAGATGGTGAAACCATTCAAATATTGAGATACTACTTTGTCTCCATTTATATTAAATAGTGATTTTTTAATTTTTCCTTTATTAATAGAGTGCACATATGCTTATTGATGTATTTTATTCCGTTATCTCAGTCTGAAAAATGCAAGTTTTTCTCTTTCAAGTTTATTAAATTGCTTGATAGCATTGTTCAAGTTTTCAATACCCTTACTGATTTTCTATTTGTACTATCAATTATTGAGAGAAAAATGTGGAAATCTCTATAATTATTGATCTCTCTATTTCTTCTTACTCTTGTATCACTGTTTTTGTCATATATTTTGATCCCCGTTAAGACCTTATTGTCATTTTGATTAAGCAAGCACATTATCATGTAACTTTTTGCTCTAAAATCTACTTGATATTAATAGAGGTGTTTCAGTTTTCCTTGGCTCTAAATATTTTTTATCCTTTTAACTTATTTGTGCTCTACATTTGAAAATATATTTATATTTTATCTGTGTAATATAGAGCTGGGATTCTCTACCTTTAATCTATCTGCTTTTCAACTTGTGCATTTAAACCATTTATATTTGATGTAAGTATTGAATTAATCAAATTTAAATTGATCAACTTGATATTTCTTTACTATTTGTCACATCTTTGTTTCTCTCTTTTGGATTTTTTCTTTGGACTTTTTTTCTTTGCCTTTTTTGGATTAATTGAATTTTTAATAATACCATTTCATCTCCCTTGTAGGTTTATTGGTTGCAATGTTTTGTTATTTTAGTGATTGCTTTAGGATTGGTAGTGTACATTTTAAACCTAGGAAACATACCTTTGAATGAATGTATAACCCCAGGAATTTACCTCCATAATCACATAAACTCATGTACTAAGGAACCATAATTATCTTTTAAAAATTATTTTTGAGATAGGGACTTGATATGCATCCCAAACCATCCTTGAACTCATGATCCTCCTGCCTCAGCCTCCCACATGCTGGGATTACAGCTGTGTTCCAACATATTCAGCAAGAAACCATACTTATTATAATAGGGTAAGTACTGTGGTAAAGAAATAGTCTCCTACTTAGGCAACTTAGAAAACTGCAAAAATATATTGACACACACTGAACAGAATATAAGCAAGAAGACTCAAAGGGGACAAGAGTTACCTTGTTATCGATACAATGCAAATTATTTTGAAAAATTAATCTATTTTATTATTATAAACATATGACCTTTGGCTAAACTCAGCCTGTTTAACTCATATCTTAAAATTAAATCTAGCCAGTTTGCTTATACTATAACTAATTAGGTATAAATGCCTATTTATTATTGAAGGAAACTAACACCATGACACTATATATATAAAAAAAATGCAACAATCGATAATACCACAAAGAATTATCTTATGTAGAAGGAGCTACAGGGCATCAAGCCTCTCTATGCTACATAGAAGGGAATTTAATAAAATAAGTGATGTGAATATGTATTGCATAAGCTCTTTAAACACTTAGAAGAATAGATTATATACATAAGATGTACATATACATTGATTAAGATATATATAGAAAGATGGATATCAAAATAAATATTGTGCTTTGCATTGTTATCATTGTTATTACTTTAATTACCTAGAATTTTTAAAATATATGTATATATGTCATAAATGTGCTCTGATCATTAGAAAAGCCAGCACAACTTACAAATTAATAATTCTGAGTTTAACTAAACCATCTCCAATAGATTCTTGACATGAGTTTTTGTCTTATTTTCCATGATTGCCTTCCATAAAGGGAAAAGTCTTCAATATTTATAAGTAAAATTCAGCTACAAGCCTCCATCTAAATAAATATTATAAATTAATTAAATGTTCCAGGGCAAAATGTAGTTCTGTGAGATGTTTTGTGTATGGAAATTTCAAATGGAAATTATTACAAGTGAAGGTTTCTACCTATTTTTTGTGCCTTTTGATTTTATTGACTATTTGCTTTAATAGATTTAGAGGGTATGGGTATGGAAGCCTAGTATAGATCCACACACAAGATTACTTCAGGAAAATAACCTCTGAATAATAGCAATTTGTAAGTTTTAAATAAGTGGCATAAATTAAATTCTAAAAACATGTGAATGCCCTTTCTGTTTTTCATTAGTCAGAACAGGAAATAAATGGCAAAGAAAAATGATATGTGTACGTATGAGTGTCTGAATACACACATGAACACATTTGCACGCCTGTGCATGCATACATGCCAAGTCAACCAAAGAAAAACAGATATCTTGGTCTCCTTAGTGAGATGCCAGCTTCTGACTACCTTCCCATAGAATCCACAAGACAGTAATTTGCTTTAATATTTTGTTTTTAAATAAAATTACACATGAAATCTTGTGTGACTGAGCCTGCAATGACACTGTCTATACATTCTCATATTTCTCTTTCCAACATTTCTAACACTGACTTTTAGATTTCTTTACAACACGGATTCAGCTACATTTTTTATTTGAAAATCAAATGTTCCCTTGCTCTTATGAAAGTAACATGTGTTTTATACTCTTGGAACTCTTTTAACTTTTAGTTGTTCTTAGCAGGAAAATTGCAAAACTTGACAGACACTGTCAGTATTTAATGTTTTTTAGCTCTGAACCAAAGTAAAACAATAATAAATTTAAGGAAGAGTACACATATGGAAAATTAAAAGTGAAAAATATGTTTTCTCATCAGTATATTAGTCATAATACATGGTGTTCAAATAAACCTGAATTTCTACTACAAAAGTTTTCTTCATTGAAAAATAAGGAAGCTTGTAATATTTTATTTCACCTTCCTCCCTGAAATAACCCGGGTTTTTTTTAAAGCATAATTTAAAAAGAATGAAACTTTACCCAGATTTTCATAAAAGAAAATTTAAAAACCCTATTTCCAATAAGACTTTCTG